TTTCCTTAATAAAAGTAGGTTTGTCAAAGAATTAGTACCTACTCTTTTTAAACATTTGAGACTTAAATTACCTGTAGAATCCCATTTTCAGATTCTCACCTTCGCAGTAATGAACTCTGCCCTAGCTCAGGAGACAAAGAGCTGCAAAAATGGGTGGGTGTTAGTCATTAAAATCATTCAACAAATATTTGTTGAGTGCCTAGTATAAGTCCGGCTCTGTTCCAAGCCCTGGGAATACTTACGAGAACAGAACAAAATAAAATCCTTGTCCTTGTAACTTAGTTGGGCAAATTAAAATTTAAATGAAAAAAAAAATCAGAAACCAAGGATCTGACTTCCTTAAGCAGGAAGAAAGCCAAGTCTCTGTGAAAAGGGCAGCTCTGAGACTTAATTCTAATATGGATAATGCTACGGAATCCCTGGCAAGCGCGCTGTTAAAGTTCTCAGTTCCTCCAAATGTGCTATACAAATGATTAATCCGAACGAACGCCAAAAGCCTGAAAGGAGGAGCGGGGCAGGACTTCCTGAGCTCTCTAACCACTTTCTCAGTCACAGTCGCCGCCCCGCGTCCGACCTCCCGGCTGCGCTGCACGCGGTTGGGTGCGCCCCGCCAGGGCCTCGTACCGGCTCCCGAGCCCCAGCGAGACTGCACCTCTCGGCCGAGGCAGGGCAGAGCACCTGGGAACCGCACGACGAGAAAGCCCTGCAGGGAGATGGCTCAGGGGAACCGGCTCCTCCAGGCGGCCTCGCCCACTGCAATGCAATCTGGGTGGTTTTTCCAGGTCCCTCCCTACCTCGTTTTGCCTCCAGTGCCGGGCCCCAGAGGGGGCTTGGAGATACCAGGACCAGGAGGGGCGAGGCCGTCGATGCGAACTCTGGGGCCCTTGCCAACCCCGCACCCTGCAGTCCAGGAGCGGGAAGCATGTTGCGATGGAACCCGAACTGCAGAGGAAGGTGGTATGGAGCACTCACGCCGGCCTTTATAGCGCTGCCTGTTCCGGGCAGAGACCGGCCTCCATTCGCGCTCTCCCAAGACGCTAAGCTACCTGCGCCGCGGGAGGCAGCTTCGCCACCGGCAGCCCCTGCTGCTAGGAAACGTGGTGGCGCGGGCCTCAGGCTCCCAAAACACTGCCCTGGCCCGGAGCCTCTCTATCCACTTCGGCGATGCTTCTTCTCCGTCGGGGAAGCTCGATCGCCAGCTGCCTCTGACATGCGTCCTGAAAGGTTCTCTCTCTGGTTTATAACCGGAGAGGGTTACTGTAACGCTAGGTGTACAGTTGCCTGATTTCACATCATGAATATAAAGGGCCGGAGACCTGGAGCCGATAATATAATACTTGAGACGAAACTGTTCCCAAGAATAGGTGAATTTGAGATATAAAACTAGCGGAAACTTCACCTCCAGCGCTTTTCTCTGTAAAATGTCAACAGGACCCACCACATTGAATCCGACTTGGCTGGGGGAAGGAGGGACACACAGCCTCTGCGCAGACAGCCTCTAGCTAGAGTAGGGAGATTAGGAAGTTGGCCAAATCGACGCAAGTACAGGAGGCAAAGGTATGAGTAGAGGGCATGGGGTCACAGCGGGGAATTCAGGAAGTGCCGGCTCTGGCTTGATTTACTAAAACATTCGGTACGCGGAGTAGCTGCATCTCATTTAGGGCTCAGGGCAAGTCAAAGAAAGTGGGCCCCTGCTCTGGAGGAGTTTCCAGCCTCGAACTAGCAGCCAGGACCAAACAAGACGTGGCAATTAAGGGAGTAGTTTAAGAGAAAAGGGAGTGGGGTCCGTTGCGCCTGAATTTCCTCCGGGGGAACCTCCTCTTGCCTAGCGCTCGGCGACTGCTTCTTTGAGCGTAACTTGGTGGCCATGAGTCCAGCTCCAAGAGCCTGGCTATGCCGCGCGTGGTAGTTTCACTCCCTAAGGTTGGCAGACGCCTCCGGGTTCGGAGGACCTTGCGCCCCGGATCCAGTCCGAGTGGGACGCAGGGCCTGCTGTTTGCACCTTAAAGGTGTGTTGGGCTCGGGAGCGGCTTTTCCGGTGCTTGGCAATTGCCCTCGCCACCTCCCAGCTGCTGTTGGCGGCCCCTCCCTCCGCGTTCGCCCTCTCTGGGCGCCGCGCCCTGGGCAGCTCCGCACCCCGGGCCTCACCTCTGGCCTCCTTTCGCATCCCCGCGCCAGCCTTTTCGCTTGACCCTTTAGAACCTCCGGCTTCGTCCCCCACAGACAGCATTTCTCTAAGCCCCCCACACTTCTCAGTTATCTCCAAGAGCGTGGGCGTGACCCCTCCTCCGCTCCCCTTAACCCTCACCCTTTTCCCGTCTGGCCTAGGTTACCCTCTGGGTGGCAACCGCCTCCTCCCTGCTCTGTGCTTCCCCCCCTTCTCTCCCGCCCCTCTCCATTCATCCAGCCATTGTCTCACACCCCCACCTCCCCTTTCCCCTGCGGCCTCCTCCCCCACCGCTGCCACGTCTTGGTTTGAAGGAGCCAATAGGCCAGCGCTGCCAGGTGTCTCTTACCTGCACCACGTGGGGGAGGGGGAAGGGGCGGGCAGGTAGAGCCACATCCCAAAACAGAAAAGCTTTCAGCCATTGCGCGCGCCTCCTGGGGGTGCAGCCCTGCTCCAGGCTTTTTGCATAGACGCACCGGCAATTGGATACAAAAAGGGCTGGTCTCCTGCTCCCTCCTTCCCACCCCCCTTCCTGTCCTGGGTGTGGAGCATCGACCAGGTGTGAGCTTGGGTGGCTGGTAACCGCCTTTTGCACCGGCAGCGAAGTGGAGGAGGAGCAGGAGGGGGGGTGGGGTGGGCGCTCTTTCTTTTTCTCTTGGAGAGGTTTTAGCACAGGTTTTCTCGTTCTCATTTCCACCCCAACTCACCGCCTCCCGACCCCCCTTCTCCCCCTCCCCACCTATCGTCATGACGGCGTCTCCGGATTACTTGGTCGTGCTTTTTGGAATCACTGCTGGGGCCACTGGGGCCAAGTTGGGCTCAGATGAGAAGGAGCTGATCCTGCTGTTATGGAAAGTCGTGGATCTGGCCAACAAGAAGGTATTTCTCCATGTTTCTGTCCAAATGATAGGGGTAGGGCAAGAAGTTTGTTGTAGAAGTTTTGGGGGGGGTGTCGGTAAACAAGTGCTCTTGTTTGCCCACTTGTGAGGCGGGACCCGGGGCCTAGAGAATCCAAAGTAAAACCAAACTTGTTGGCCATCCGCCTTGGAGCCATTTCAGCCCCCCAAAATCCGGCTCAGGTGGGGAGGCCGGGAGCCGCAAAGCCGGGTTCTCTGCCGGTCGGGAACGCCCGGCGGAGCCGGGGCGTAATCCCTGGGGTCCCTAGTGCCGGCTTTCAGGGCCTTTCCGACCTGATTCTGGTGGGGGTGGGGTCGGGGGCAGGTCTGCGCCGACCTCTCCGCTTCCGGAGCCGCTGGCGACCAGTGAGCTTTGATTCTGCGGCCAGACCCCTCCCGAGGCGCGGGCCGCGCTAGCAGGGGAGCGAAGGAAGAGGGTGAAAAAAAAAAAAACTCCCAAGTTTAAGAAGGGGGGAACTGACTCCTGCTTCTTTCCCCCGGAGGTGGGACAATTGCACGAAGTACTAGTTAGGCCGGATCAGTTGGAGCTGACAGAAGATTGTAAAGAAGAAACTAAGATCGACGCCGAAAGCCTGTCCTCCGCGCCGCAGCTAGACCAAGCCCTGCGACAGGTGACAGCCCTGGGCCTTGCTGCCCACCCCAGCCGAGCCGCCCAGGCGTCCTTCGCAGAGGGCCCAGCCCTACTAGGCTCACGCCCTCGTCCGGCGGTCCCTGCGCGTCCACCGGGTGGGGTGGCAAGACGCTGGGGCGCGTGGGTGGAAACTCAGCCTGGAGGCTTGGGTCGTGCCTTTTGGGAGCAGGTCGCTGATCCTCTTAGTCTCCCAAACCCCAGAGTCTTGGAGCAAAACTCTCCAGTTTTCGAGTTGCTTACTGAGTCATGTCCTAGGCCAGAGAATCAGCCGAGTTTTACTAATCGTGTGATGAGCGGAGTTTGAGTCCTAGCGCTCCTATCCCCTGGCCCAGGCCCCAGACGCGACTGTCCTCTGCCGGGGTTTGGGTCTGCTGCTCAGTCCTGGGGCAGAGGGCGCTGTGGTGTAGACGCGCGGGCCTTGCGCTGATGCTAGAGGTGGCCCTTGTTTGGTTTCAGGATTCTGAATTCCAAAGGCTCAGTTCCGGTTCCATTATTACTTTTTTGGTGTCCTTAATCCTAGCGCCGGGGTGGGTTTGCAGGCCCGGACGTGGAGGGCTACTCGTTGGGTCATCGTGAAAGCGGTGGAATCCCCTTGTTGGAATTGAAGTGACCTAAAAACCGGCTCCTCGGGGCTGCTGACGGGTACTGAATCCGACTCTAGGGCCGGGCGCTAAACATCTGTGCATGGATGAGTGTGGGGCGCTCTCAGCTGCCCTTGCCCTAGCACACGAGTTACGAATTAGAGGGGAAAATGATCATTTCTGAGGTGTGTTTCAGGAAACACGTTTCCAGACTTTCCATACCCATTACCCACGCTCAACTGGCATCTTTCTTAAGCCTAGTACATACAACTATAAAAAAAAGTAACACTAAGGAATGATGTAATCTGAAGGTAATATGCTGATGAAACGAGACCTCTGATTTAAAAGTCTTAAGCGGATATTTCGCAAAGAAGAGAGTACAGTCAGACGGAAGGAAGAAAAAATGTTTACTAAATTCTCCCCTGCATAACTGCAGGTTTATTGGAAAGTTTATCTAAAGGAAGCTAGACAGTTTGTGGAAACCGAGTCTTAATTATGTTGCCCCCATCGCGGATGTCCCCCTTTTACAGCAGTTAGCGCAGTTTTCTCTGGTTACTACCAACTGGGGCCAGTTTGCAGAGTTTGTAAATCTTCTTTCAATTGCGTCCTTGTGTCTTGTTCTTTTCAGTTTAACCAGTCAGTGAGCAATGAACTAAATATTGGGGTAGGAACCTCTTTCTGTCTCTGTACTGATGGGCAGCTTCATGTCAGGCAAATCCTGCATCCTGAAGCTTCCAAGAAGGTAAGAGTGCTGGCTTCTCAAAAAACGATTGGAATTTGGGGTGACTGGAGGTTTTTTTTTTTTTAAAAGATTTATCCAAGTTTGTTTATTTTAAATAAATGTGTGTGGGGAATTATTTCATGGGTAAAGAATTTCAGTTTGAGAAGATGACAAAGGGATGGTGGAGATGGTTGCATAACAATGTGAATGTACTTAATGCCACTGAACTGTACACTTAAATTGTTAAATATTGTGTTATGTATATTTTACCACAATACAAATTCATGACACTTTCATAGAGATGTTTGAGATTGCAGTAATTTTATATATACCCTTTGGTGATTTAAAGGTTTTCGCATCTGTCAGATCTTTAAAATGCTCGATTTTCTCCCTTTTTCAAAGTATATGACAAGTAGGAGAGAACTGTATTTTATTTTAATACACTAATATTCCCATCTTTGTGGAAAATGCTTTATCTGAAAAAGGAAGGAGCAAAAAAAAAAATCAGTTAAATCTTTTAAATTGTAATAACTTCATTTAAAAGCTTTGTACTAAAGACAACCATGTAACTAGTGAAACGTTACAGTATACTGCACTTTGACTTAAAGTAAATATTCAAAACTGATTGAATTTTGAATCAAAACAATGGAATTGGCCCCATCTTTTACTTTTGCTTATCTTTCTGATATGGAAAAGAGTATGGAGGAAAAAAAGTGATTTCTCTCCCTGGAGAAATGTGATTTCTCTCCCTGGGAAGAATGAGGGGTTTTGGGAAAATGGAGAGCATTGACAGCTGACCCAGTATAGCCAGCCAATCATTGCTAATATAGTTCATCTGATCAACTTAATTAGTTTGAGCTCTAAGTTTTTATTGTGATAGGCAGGTACTGAACTTGAAAGATGGAAGTAAAATGTATTTAGGGAAACTATATGAGGCAAGCCTTGCAATGAAAGTTTTAGACTGGCAATTGATAATCACAAGTGAGTAGTCAGTGCAGATCATCTTCTTTTTTTACTCCAGTAGGGAAAATGAAGAAGTTAAATGTATAATTGTAATTTTAAAAGTTTGAAGAAGAAACTCAAGTTTCTTTATCTTGAGGGTTGAGAAAATCACTCTCTTTATAGCAAACTTAGTAATTATTTGATTAAAAGGGGGAGTATTTTTCATTAATTAAATGCTAGACCAACTGTTATATCCTTGATCCAGAAATAGAAATAAGTGAGGACTTTTTTCCCCTCATATGAGGAGGGATAAAACTTAATCTTTTCCCTGTTGGGCTGGAGGAAAACAGATGCTTTTGTTATTTTAGATGGGCTGCTTTGGAAATGGGAAAACCTCCAGAGAAAAATTGAGACTGAGTCACTTCTATTCAGATTTTGATAAAGAAAACTAAAACAATTTAGTAACATAATGAAAGTCATTCTGTTCATTAAGGCAAATTAGAGAAAATGATAAAACATGGAAGAAAATAATCCTGCCACTCAGAAAACAACATATTAAAGTGTTTTTCTCTAATATGAACATACCTGGATATAGTCTTTTCGATTTTTGTACAAAAAAATCTTTTTAGCCTACTTTATAATTTAATATAACATCAACATCTTCTGTAAACACTAAATAAAATACTTGGTATTTTTAATGGATATAACTAAGCCAATCTTATTGTTGAATATATGGGTTATTGTCATTATAAATAGCTTTTAAATTAGCATTTTTGTAGATAATCATGAGGATTCATGATTGTCTTGGTAACTATTTTGAAAACCTTGGCCATGATACAGTGATACCTATTTCAAATATAGCAGGAACAAGTCACATCTAATAATCCGATAGAGAAAATTTAGATACATTATTGCATAGATGTTAGGGATTATAAGTATTAAATTATTTCCTTGACTTTCTAATGTAGAAATGGGTAGAATTTTCCAGTAAGTGAACACAAACTATTTTGAAGTTTTAAGAAAAATCTAAATTCAGTTTACAAAAAGATTTGAAAGTTGTTCAATAAGGGTTCCCCGCCCCCAGGGGAAAAAAATGAAACAATAGTGTAATATTTGCCCAAGCAGTTGAGCTCTGTTTAATAATCCTAAGAGTGGTGCTAGTAGCTAAGAATAGCAGATAATCATTTCTCCTTGGCCTTTGAGATTTGTGTTATCTTTTTTTTTTAAGTCTAATTTGAGTTCTGAAGTATAGCCAGAATAATGGTCAGGAAAACTAATGTTGGTCAGGACTATAATTTGTCACAAAACTAATCCTTTTCAGATAATCAGGAATTCACTATCTTAATCAGTATGCATTATTAGAACCCAGTATTTAAAACTACTACATTCTATAACTGAATTGTATGTCTAGGTATACATTGTAAACATATGCCTCTGTGTAAGAATTGAGAGGGCTAATATTGCTGCCTGAAAATGCAGATGGTCTAAAATGATTATGGCTAGAAAAAGTGTAGTTTTATCAAACAGAAAATATAAACTACAACAGCCCAGATGTATCATAGCTTCAGAAGTGTTTTGACTATAATACATAAGGGAGCACAAACATAATTCGTTGCCTTAAAATAAGATGACTTTTTTTCCCATGAGCCATATATATAGGATGTAATATTATAACAATCACTCATACATTCTATTTTTTAAAAACATTTTTAAAATTGTGGTAAAATATACGGACATTTAATTCTTAGGTTCCTAATTATTAGGAAAACATTGAACTAAATTCATCCAGTTAACAGTGTTTACCTTGTCCTTCCTCAGAATGTATTATTGCCTGAATGCTTCTATTCCTTTTTTGATCTTCGAAAAGAATTCAAGAAGTGTTGTCCTGGCTCACCTGATATTGATAAACTGAATGTTGCAGCAATGACGGAGTGTATCCTTTAAGTGATTACCCAAGAATCATTTCAAAAGGAAGCTCCACAAAAAATGCCAGTTCACGAAACATTAAAACATTTTTAACTTTGTCAGTATATGGATGAAATTGGCCTGTGCAAAATTTGTCTACTGTGCTATGAAGAACTAATAGCACAATTATAGGCATCTTTCAAAGTAGTTAAAATGTGCTGAGTTTGAATACTGATTTAGTTAGATGGATCTATGTGAGTTGAACACATCTAGAATAGCATTCAATATCAGATTCAGGAGTGGTTTGGGTTTTTTGGAGGTTGTATTGAAGAATATGAAGACTACTTTCTTTGATGCAGATTCCAAGGCCACTTGTTCTTGATTATCTTGCTTTTGGGTTTATTTTGGCTTTTTTTGAATGGATAAGAATTTTTTAAAGTAGTGGATATATGTCTGTACAAACAGCTACTCTTTGGCACTCCTTTTAACTTTCCCTGGAATTGTCAAATATAAGATTGTGGTGATGATAATCCATCTTTTGAAATGATAAAATTAGGTTGGGATTTTACCCACAATTCTTTCATTATCAAGATAGCATATCTAATGTATTATATATATAAAAATAAATTTAATAATTATAAGTCTTGAATGACCCATCATTCATCCAGTAAGTCTTTAAAGTACTAATTAGTAAGCAGTCATGTACTAACATATCAGATGGAATACTGAGTAATATAAAGGAGATGATACACCCAAAGTCACTGTGAGAGTTGTCATAAAGTCAGAGTTAAGTTGCTTTCAGGAACTTGTGGGTTATAGATGTTTATTCTTAAACTTTCTCATTCTTTGTCTGGAGTAAAAGCCTAGTTTTTGTTGTATTTCACAATTTCTTGTCTTGATTGAAAAAGGCTGTTTTGCACATTTTTTCCTAAACACTTGTAAGCAGTTCAAACCCATTTTACTTATGTTCTTACTTGAAGCAGTTTGCTGGAATTTGTTTTAGCTGCTTTAGCTATTGGTTAGTTACTGGTTTAGCTCCAGGGTGGAATAAGCACATTTTGAGGGAATTCTTATAAGAATTTCGTTAGAAGGGTGGGACAGCAGACAAATTCTTACTCTTTGCTTTATTGGTTTGAATGCTGTATTAGTTAGTTCAGGCTGCCATAACAAATACTATAGACTGGATGACAAACAACAGGAATCTATTTTCTCACAGTTCAGCAACCCGGGAAGTTCAAGATCAGGATGCCAGCACAGTTAGTTTCTGGTGAGGCCTATTCTTGGCTTTCAGATAGCTACCTCCTTGCTGTGTCTCACATGGAGGGGGAGAGGTGTGAGACAGGTGTGGGAAATGTCTTCCTCTATAAGGCCATTGGCCTAACAGATTAAGGCCCCTTCCTTATGACCTCAGTTAATCCTAACTGCCTCCTAAATACTATATTCCAGGTATAGTCACATTGGGGGTTTGAGCTTCAACATAGAATTTTGGGGAGGGACACAATTCAGTCCATAGCAAATGCTAAACCATTTTATTCACTGGTCCAACATGGAGAACCAAAAATTCTAAAAAATTGGTAGATAGTGGAGGGAAACTCCAATAAGTTATCTTAATTTAGAAAAAGACAATTTGAACAGGAAAGGCAGTGTATTAACAATCGTTTATCTCTGACTATTCATTTTTCTCTTTTAGCAAAGAAAATCCCTGGTGATGATAGGTCAGATACTAGTAAAAATTTCCATAACTATAAAGAAGTTCTTATATTTAGATATTTTGGTTTTCTCAATGAGTTGACAGTTGAGGGAAAACTTGTTAAAAGTTTATCCATTCTTTTCTCTCTGGTTTCTTCCTAAGAGTTTTACATGTATAAGATTTAGGGTTATTATTAAACATTTTCAGCATGATAGTCTGAGCTTTTTACTTGTTCTGCGCTGTCTGTAGTATCCACACACCAATGTATAGTAGAACTTCTTAAAAAGTGTGTCATCTGATTAGGTCAATGGGTAAGATGCTACGCTGATTATTTTTTCTGTCATTCCTTTTAATCCTAGTTCTGTAACTCTTTGTTGGTGGTGATTTTTAAATGCCATGGAGATGACAGTCAGAAATATGTGACTGCAGTAGACAGATGAATTGTGAATAAAGCTAAGTCGGGCTCCATTTCAGGCACATCACACCTGAAATTTTAGGATCTCATGGCCATTAAGTAATGCATTCTTGAAAAACTAGGGAATTTTACATTTCTAAAAAAATAGCTTAATTATAACCTAGTTTCTTTTGCTTATATTGGAAGAGTCTTAGATTTATAGCTTTATTGCCAACCAAAAAGTGGATTTTAATCTTAAATGTTTTTATTAATGTTTTATTTGCATGGTTCCCCCCCCCACCGCGACACACACACACATAGCAGGTAAGAAATTTTATTAAGTTTTCCTAGCAGTGGTTTTACTTTGCTACTGTAATCAATTATTTTATGACTCTTATTCAGAGGGAATTATCTTCCTGACTAGGCTACTAAACCAATTCTTCAGGTCGAAAGCAATTATACCAAATATGACTATCAACTTGTCTTTATCTGCAAATGATTTCTACAAAGTCCATTCTTTCAGACCAGTGAAGATTTCCTTTCTAATGTGGAATTGGCACTAAATTTGGAAACACATCCTCGGTGGTTTTGCCAATTTGCTCCTGAGGCATTACCTGTTCCACCAAGGAAACCAGCAGGGGAGGCAGAGAGTAAGAGAATATGCAGCTTTGCTTTCCTGGTAAAGTCACTTGCCTTGTCTAAGCCTCACTTTTATCTCAGGTATTCTCAAATGAAAGCTTTGTAAACCATCAGGTGATACGTAAACAAAAAAGTATAACCACTTTGATAAAAGAAAGGGTTTCAAGAATTTCTTGAATGCAGTTCTGGTCCTTATTTTAGCACTTCCCTCTTTTGTCATGTGTTGGTTCTAAAACCACTTCTGGTATTAGCGTTGGGCCTCTTTGAGTTATTCCAGTGGCAGTTGTGTTAGCCTGCTTTTTGAATTATGTAGTCCCAGCTGGAGAGACGACCTCATTTAACAGGTGAACTGTGGATGGCATTTTGTAAGCTTTTTACCTAATCAGGAGATAAGGTGGTGAGAATGTGATGATAGGGATTAGTGCCTTTCTGATTTTTTGGTTTGTTTTGAGGAAGAATTTATTTTAGATCCACTGTGGAAATTAACACTAGTTGTCTCCTGCCAAAAGAACACTTTGATTATGGGACTATTTGTATAAATGAGTTACCCATTTTTTAAAAAGAGCAACCCTATTTTACCCCCGTCACTTTGAATGGTATTACTTCCTCCTGGTTTCTTGACCTGTTTTTTGTTAGCTTTGTTATTCATGAGCTGATATATTCTCATTAATCAAGACCTCTACTGTTCACTCAGCCAAGCCTTTACTAAGAACTTATTTTTCATAAAGTATGATATTATAAGGAGAGCATGTGAAAGAAGAGAATTATCAATTGAGTGCTTACTACGTATCCCATCAATAGCCTCACAACAGCCCAGTGGAGACTGTATCACCTCCTTTTTATAGCTGGGGAAACTGAGGCTTACAGGTTTTGTTTTAAGTTAGTTAGAAGCACCAGCATTTCATCCTGAGTCCAATGCAAAATCCTGCTTATTAAATAGGGGGTAATCTAGAATGCATAAAGATCATTTGAGGGTGGGGTTGGCCATTTAAATAGATTATTTATCTTCCTTATAATAGGAAAGGGAAGTCAATTTTGTAAAATTTCTATCCAGTTGTAGGGTATTGCATCTGTATGTGCTGTTGGATGTTATTAGCAAATGCCATTTTACTCGTGCAGCTTTCCATTATCAGATTAAAAAAAAATCACTAAATTACTCTTGCCTGCCATCCAAGAGTTAGAGGTGTGTGTGTGTGTATTTGTGTGTATGTGCTACTAACAGTGACATTGGCCTGTATACACACACACACACACACACGTTCATATATAGCAGAGTTGTTAACAGCATGAGCTCCAGAATCAGACTTATTGGGGCTGTACCTCTCAACCTCAGTTTTCCCATCTTAAAATGGGCATGACTACTGTAAGGAGTAATGACACAGTATATACAACCACTTATCCAGTGCCTGGCTTGCCACACGCTTTCCAAAGTTGGCCGTGATCCTTCAAATCTCACCAGGTTGTTGGTTGTCTCAGATGAAGAAAAACAGTTGCCAAGGACTTTGAAAAGAGCTTCCTTATTGATTTAAGACTATTTAAACTTTTACACTTAAAACTTTTTAAAACTGTATGTGATACTGGATATAGACATTTTAAAGCATCAGCTACGTGTTGATACAGGTAAACTTCAAGGTTAACCTCACTTTTTTCATTTGTAAAATATTGTGTGTGACTGTGGTTCATTCTGCTCTTATGTGCTCGTTCTGATTACTTGAATGGTGCCTTTGAAATCACGCAGAGCTTCATTGCCCTGCTTAAAAAGTGGAAGGAAGTGCTGAATACTCTTGGTACCTTTCTGCGTATGAAAGGGATTTTAAATATTACCAAGTGTACAGTTAAGCTGGGTTAGCAGTTGACTTTGTTAGCTAGGGGGAGAGGGGAATTATCTTTGGCATTACATCAACATGATGTGAGCCAAATCGGCAAATGCTCTGGTTTGTGGTCTGTAATAAGTTAAGTGACTAGAAATACAACATATTTTTGGCCAGAACTCAGAGATGTGTTAATTTCATGGTGTTTATTTTCGTGATAAAGTAATTTACTTTTAAAAAGTTAGTTGGGAATTCCAGGATAACTTTCTTGTTTTAGAAAGCTTTAGAAGACTTGTTTTATTGTCATGGAGTCTCCTTTCCCTAATTTATCCCAGATAAATGTGTATTTCTAAAGTAAAATTTTCATTTCTTTTGTTGCATTAGCCCTTACTTCCATCTTATTTCTTCTAGGGCGTAATTGACTTGACAGTTTTGTTAGACATTCTTTTATGTGGTGCTTCATTACAATAATATCTCCTGAAGAAATATTTGTTAGAGTGGATCTCATACCTTTTGGAAAGAGTAAAGCTTCTGAGTAACAGAGTTAAAACTGTGGTTTTAGATTATTTTCCCTGCATTTATTATTGTTATGAAAAAAATTTTGTTGCCTTAGCTCAATATATTATTTTACATGAACATTCTTGATTTGCTTCTTTCAGAGCTCACTTTAAAATATAGCGGATTATATTTATAGAATCTATTTTTTAAATCATGCCGCTCATTTAAGGGTAAGCTGTCACTTTTCCCCTTCCCTCCTTTATATAATTGTAGGAAATTTAGTTCTTAGTTGGAACAGTACTTTCAACTCTTCTCTTGCCATGTTTTGTTTGCTATTCCTTTGTTTATTAGCATAGGTATTATAATATGTCTGAGAATATAGGCAGTGGTATTATACTCTAAATACAAGTAAATAGCAGAAGGGGAAGAAACAAACTTCTGAGAGGTCTATGGCAGGGAAAAATGACTTTGAGTTGGGATTTTGAATTGGGATGCAATTATAATATATTATTTAAATTATATAGTTTAAACATAATCATTCCACAGTGTATTTATTACTTATATGTGTGATTCTTTTAGTTATAAACTGAAAATTTTTTTCAAAAACATGTTATTTACAGGTGAAAGTTGAGCATTCAGACATCAAATGTGTCCATTTTCCAGCAGCGGGGCAAGGTAACGTTTTTGAGTAGATGAGCTACCACTGCTGAACTTTGTGAAATTTCTCTTTGAATCCCACCTTCACCTAGTAAAAGCGAGGGTTAGATCCTGAAATCTGTTTCACTAAAGATGGCACTAAAAAAAATACTCCTCTTATTCAAATATAGGCATCTCTGGACTTCTCAAAACTCTGTATAAATGCAGCAGTTTGCTCACTCGTGGCCTGAAATGTTAGTTTTGTTCCCACCATGTTTGGCTTCACCCTGTGTTTCCTCATGGCACTTCTCATTTGTGAAGCTGGCTGAGCCTGTTAGTGCTGTTGTGCCTGCCTCAAGGGTAGGATGAGTAAGTTGCATATGGCGAGCCATAAATCAGGAGGCACGGACTCATCTTTCCTTCCCTCAAGATCAGACATGCAGGAGGTAATTCAATATATAATTATAAATCG